ACCTCATGGCAGAGAGGGCAGAGAGGTCAAAGGTCAGAGTACAGGGCTGATGCCCCAATCTGGGGCTGTGCAGCAGGAGCACAATGGGCACAATGGGAAGGGTGAGAACGTCAGCAATACTGTTGGTGAGTCCTGTAAATGTCTTTGTTGAATTTGCATTGCATTTGAATTTGAATTTACTGTAATAATAATCTTCGTCGAAGATTTAAAGGATTAAAAAGTCTGTCATGATTAAGCACAAAAATGGGTCTGTACGACTTGTGTACTATGTCAAGTGTTCTTAAACCATAAAAAGTTTTTTTTTCAAGCGACAACGGTGTACCAGCTCTATTGCCATGGAGAAAGTTTAAGCAAAACATGCTAACTGTTCTGTCTTTGGCTGCACAGACGAGCACAGAACACTGTTTACAGTCCCAGCCTCAGAGGAGACAACAGAGCAGTGGATTTATTGATTTATTTACTGTATATTGCTGCTGCCACACAGATCTAAGAATATGCGATTTATTTTACTAGCTGTTTACCTTCACAGACATAACCGACTGTTTTTGTAACTCGTGTGTTTTTAAGGTTAACTTGTGTGTGAATGAGAACTTAGTTTAGTACTCACATGCTGTGACAGCCACTTTCTGTAAGTGTGCTTCGGATGTGTGCACTCAGAAAACCGTTTATCAGAAGATTAAACTCATATGATTTAAACCGCATGATTTCAGAGCGATAAACATGATAATCAGAACCATAACAGATGTTTTTAGCAGGTTCGAGCTGGAAAGGGGGGCGGGGAGCAGCAGCTCATTTGGATTTAAAGAGACAAGCCCGAAAAACTGCGTGTTTCTGCTTCCACTCAAAATAGGCATTTTCAAAATGATATAATAAATGATGTGTGGGGTATTTTGAGCTGAAACTTCACAGACACATTCTGGGGACACCAGAGACTTAGTTTAGTTTAGTTTAGATTAACTTTTATTACATATTGTAAAAAGGGGCATAATATGTCTCCTTTAAAGATTTCACTTGTTTGGCTCATTTAAAGGGGTCATATGATGCTGCTAAAAAGAACATTAATTTGTGTATTTGGTGTAATGAAATGTGTTTATGCGGTTTAAGGTTCAAAAAACACATTATTTTCCACATACTGTACAATATTGTTTCTCCTCTATGCCCCACCTTTCTGAAACGCGTCGATTTTTACAAAGCTCATCCTTCTTAAAAAGCGAGGTGTGCTGTGATTGCATTGTGGTTGTGTTGCATCGCGCTGCGTAAACATAAAACCATGTCTGCATTTGTGATCCGCTTTCACAACGAAGCACACAGCATCTTTACGACATGGCGGCGGGAACAACAAAACTACAGCGAGAATAAAGTTAGGTCTTCTTTCTTTGCGTGAATATTTGGGCGGCGTTATGCAAATCTTCCCACATAGTGAGGTAGATATGTGGGGGCGTGTTAGAACAAGCCGTTTTAGGTAGGCGTGGCTGACTCTTAACTTTTATAAAGAATATCTCTTTGGATTTGAGACTTTAGTCTTTGCAACTTTACAGATCTTCTTCATGCACCAAGAGCTTGTAACACTCCAAAGAGAAAGGAAAAATTGAAATCGCATCATATGCCCCCTTTAAGAATCTCCAAAGGATTCAATAGGCCCCTCTGTGGCTGTAATCATAAAATGCAATTTTATGTAATTTTTCCCCACCAGATGGCATCAGAGACACTCAGTGACCTAGGTCCTGATGGATCATCATGTTTAAAGTATAAATATGCAGAAATTGTGTCTTTCTTTGGTTTTTTTGGGGTGAAAAAATGTATAAAAATATGATCATTTTCATAAAAATATCCAGAATTTAATGTGAATAAAATAAAAATCACCAAAAAAACCCCCTACATATTAAATTAGAAAAATAAAAATGGACCAATATAAGCTTTCTGGACCTAAAATAAAATTAGTGTCATTTTTGGCCTTCGGGTCATTTTGACCCGCGAGGGACACTTTTGTTATAGATTCGGGAGGGACGGATGAGGGTTAAACACGAAAAATATGTCAAAAAAGCAACACAAAAATGGGCCTGTACAACTTTTGTACTATATTTCAAGTGTTCTTGAACCATAAAATAGCTTTTTGTGAGTTAACTTCCCTTCTACTACAACTCTTGAATTTAATTTTAGTTTCTCACTCAGATCTGTTGTATGACTTCTGGATTATAGTTCATAAATCATATGGTCACTGCAGAAAGTGCTACTTTTCCTCAGTATTCTGTCTTGTTTTCCAGCACAGCACATTCTTAAACTAAGGTACATTTACTTGACATGAGATTCAATGTGAAAAATGAAGTGTGTACATACTGAAAACTGAAAAAAAAATCTAGTTTATATGTATGGGCCTATTGGCATATATTGTGCCTTGTTTTAAGAAAAACTCACTTCCTTTTTATAATTTTGTCACAAACAAGACTTAATATCTTAAGTTATTTTTGCATCTCAAGTAAATGTATGTTGGTTTAACAGTTTGTTTTTTTATTATTGCACTGGAAAACACAACAA